GGGGGAAGGTCTTTTGAAAGTGCTTAGCCTCCTATCATAATTAAGGACCAATCACATGCCTCATAGAGAGTGGATTTTGGGCTAAGCTTGGGTCAAAGAGCTTGGACTTGAGGAAAGACCTTTCCCTTCATCCCTTTGATCCCACCAGCTTTTAAATTTAGGGAAGAGGCCTCATTTGCTAGGAGGAGAGGATGGAGAAGAGTTTTGGGGCTGGTGTGGAGAGCTCTAGGAAAGCTTCATCTCTTTCTTCGCCTTCTTCTTGATTCTTCTTCCTTTTGTTCATTTCCTTCTTATTTTCTACATTAAATTGTTGAAAAGAGTGTGAGGGAGCTGGGTGAAGGGGCTTTTTGGAAGAGGAAATTCATTATTCCTTTGAAAAAGGAAATTTTCATCCTTACTTTGGAGAAGGAAGGTCAACTTTATTGGCACGTAGAAGGAGCAAGGAACAAGCCCAAAAAACACATCATCAACCTTTAAATATGTGAAATATCTATAACTCTTACATTTTCATTCTTAGAGCCCCTAGGTCTAGATGTTAGAGATCTAAGGACTTAAAACTTTCTGTTAAAGGAAGCTGATGGGTTAAGAATCTATTTTTGTCGATTTACCTCACAAATGCAAGTGTCCCCCCATAACCTTTGCTCCAAAATCGTATAATATACAAGCTTGTACTAATCTCATCGTTTGTTTCAAGGGCTTGATTTGGATGGACATTTGAAGTGACTAGCTAAGAGAATGAAGTGGTTCCTTTGGTCTTCATTCGCTCAATCATAAAGGGTTCTCATTGAGAGAAACTCTCTATTTTATGCTAGACAAATAGAGATGGGTGTCTTGTTACCTTGCACAATGAGACGTTGGTTCACTTCTCAATTGCTGCACCTAATCCCACGCGAGCTCGATAGGAGGAGTTCGAAGTATTGTTGAATGCAGTGGGTTGCATTACTTGCATTCTCATTTATATTTTCTTGTATATTATATGTTGATCATGTGAGAAATTTGGTCCGATCGACCCCCCTGGCTTGATCATCTGATCAATTAGGTTTAATCGGCCGTCTCAATAGACCACCCTTCCTTTTTTGGTTCAATCGGTCACTTAGACTTGATTGTCCAATCACTTGGGCTTAATCGACCGTCCCAGCCCAATCATCTTCTCTTTTCACTTCGATCAACAGCTCCAACTCAATTGTTCGATCACTTGGGTTTGATCGGCCATCCTGCCTCGATCATATCTTTTCAGTTGGATCGGTCGTTCTAGCTCGATCATCTGATCACTTGGGTTTGATCAGCCATCCCGACCCAATCACTCTACCTTTTCAGTTCGATAGGCCACTCTGGCTTGATCATTCGATCACTTGGATTTAGTTGGTTGTCTCGACCCGATTATCATATCTTTTTGGTTTGATAGGCTATTTTGACTTGATCCTCCAATCTCTTTGTTCAACCGGTCGTCCCGATCTGATCACCCTAACCTTTTGGTTTGATCGTCTGCTCCAGCTCAATCTTCCAATCTCTTCGGTTCAATCGGTCGTCCCGACCAGATCACCCTATCTTTTTTGTTTGATCGGTCGCTCTGGATCGATTGCCCAATCACTTGGGTTTGATCGGCCATCCTGGCCCGATCTTTTTATCCTTTCAATTTGATTGGTTGTTCAGACCCGATCACCCAATCTTTTCAATTTGATCAACTGCTTCGACTAGATCATCAGATCACAGGCCATTCCAGCCTTTGACGTCTCATCATTATGATTGTTATCCAAAATGGGGTTGGGAACACTATCAGGCCCTAGTCTTGCTACGCATGTGTGATGACATTCCATCCCTCGTAGGGACTTAATAGAAAGGGGAGAAGAGAAGAAGAAATAACAGGGCCCTCTATTAGAAGTTGACATTACATAACCATTAGAGTTTCTTCCATATTTATAGATTCTCCAATGTCAAGGAAACAGGCACATGTCATAACTCTTTCAGGTGTCCATAAAAAATGTTTTTGGTGAGATGTTGTGACGCTTAATATTGGTGGCATGATGCTCCCCCACTTGAGGCATTGAGGATTTAAAGTAGATTTGAATTTTATTGAACGCGCACTACGACACTCAATGTTAGTGCCACGATGCCATTAATAGTGGCAGTTGATGGTAGATGCACGTCCAATCATCTGCAGGGCTATGATGCCGAGCATGGGTTCTGTAGTGCCATACCTAAAGTGGACTTTCCTTCTAGGGTCGGTCATGCATGCATAACCTCAAGAGCACTTCGAAAAGACTTAAAAAATTCATAAGGAGCTAAAATTGATGCCAACACCAGTACACACATATATAAATGAAAAGTAGTAGGAGAATACACTAGAATTTTTACATGAATAAACTCTGGAAGAGAAAACAATCACAGGGTCTAGCCCAATCAAAGTAATCCACTATGAAATTATAAGTACATTGGTCAACTCTTTTCCTGAATTAGAGAAAATGAAATAACAAAGCTGATAATCACATATGAATAATAGTGGTTTAGCTATAATAACTATGAGGGGGCAACAGCAAATGTGGCTCTTGGCTATAATAACAACAGTTGACCACAAAAGCCGTAATTGGTTGCTACAAAGTCAACAGTTGGACATAAATGCTATAGTAAGTGACTGCAATAACTATAATTGATCACAAAGACAGTAGTTGAAAGTTGTAACAGTAGTAATTATCTATAAAAGTGTAGTTGGTTGTTACAAAGGTAGTAGTTAGGCCTGAAGACTATATTCGGTGGTTAACCACAAATGTCGTAGTTGGATGCTATAACAATAGTAGTTGGCCATAAATGTTGTAGTTGATTGTCATAAAGGCATTAGTTAGTCATGAAGGGTGTTGTTGATGGCTGCAGTAGTGACAGTTGGCCATATGGGGCATCGTTGAAAGCTGAAATAGTAGTAGTTGGCCACAAATATCGTAGTTGATTGTTATAAAGGTAGCAATTGACCACAAATTTGTTGTCGGTGGCTGAATCCCTTCTCTCAGGGTAGGGAGAACAAGGTTATAATTTTATACTAGAAAAAACACTGTCTTTCTACTACAAAAAAAAAGTTTAGAAACAACAATTGTTGTCTGATTACAATGGTCGTAAGAAGTTGTCGTTGACAATTGGTGATCGGCGGCGACAGACGGCGACAACTGAGTAATGGAAACAATGTTCGATTGGCAGTGGTCAACGGTAATTAGTAGCTACGAATTTCAGTGGTTATCATCGAGTTCTCGCTTTCGAATTCCTCCTATTCTTCACTTTCCTCTTAAGTGAAGTGAATGAGTCTATTTATAATTTTTTAAGGAAAGGATTTTAGTCTTTTGGTGTAGAACTTTTCTAAGCACCTGGTTCTTGTTGATCTTCCTTGATAATTGAGAATTTTTTTTAATAATTCAAGTGTCTTAATTACGTCAGAATTCAACTATCTTAGGCTCGTCGGATTTTTCTTGTCAAGTTGCTAGTTAGATATGACTATAAATATATAAAATTTGAATTTCATTTAACTTTTCAATTGACCATGCAAATCCTTCATTTGTGCTTCAATGTCTTGATGGGGACTCGTTGAAGCCTAATTGAACCAATTTTAATATCATTAAGTTTGTCTTGTCAATACAATCAGTGTAATCATAAACTCGCTGAGATCGAAGTCTAAATACTCTTAAATTTGAGTTTGAAAGAATCCTTATCAAAAATACAAAAAGATTCATGCTGGCAAAAAAAAATTGTTGATGAAACATCAATGATAGTGATATTTTTTAATGTGATATTAAAAATTTGAACAATATGAATATTTAGATAAATACATAATAATTGTGTGGTATTTACATAAATTCTCGAGATTTTTTATGAAACTGTTTGAAAAATTTGTCAAATTAAAATAAATTGAAAATATCAATAAATTTTACCGAAGCTGACCTAAAATTATTAAAATTAGTATTGTTTCGTGTGCTACTATGTATCGAATTGACGCTACAATTAAATTAGCGGCGCAGAACCTTTTCGGTAGCCGTCTGCGTTTACTTCTTCAACGGTCCAGATCGACCCAACGTAGAAAACCAAATCCGACGATCAAAAGCAATCTAATCTGTGCGACAACCTATCCGCACAAAAACCTCCCTGCGACCAAGCCCCAGTCCTCACTAGCCAAAACCAAAACAATCTCAACCAAATCCCTCACCCTAACCCTAATAAGAAACCAAATCCCAAAGAACCCAAACCCCAACCCCGCACCACAACCATGCCTTCCGCCGGAGAGGACGATACCGCCGCAGGCGACGACGAAGTCACCGATAGCGAGGAAATGATCGGCATCAGCGACCACATCCATCGGCAAATCGCCAATACAAGCGGAGGAGAGGAATCCCGGCGGATGTTTCAGAAGCTGTGGACTCACGCAGACGAGATGAAGGTTTTGCAGGGGTTCTTGGAGTTTACGTCGAAGAGGGGAACGACGCACGCTAACTACCAGCACGACACGGGGCCCTTCTTCAACGAGATTCGGCCTCGGCTACAGTTCGATTTCAATAAGAACCAGATCGCGGAGAAGCTACGCCGTCTCAAAAAGAAGTACCGCAACGCTGCCGCCAAGATCGGATCGGGCCGGGGGTTCGTTTTCAAGAGCCCTCACGATCGAGCTACCTACGAGATTTCACGTAAGATCTGGAGCACTAAGATCTGGAGCACCACCACGTTTTACCGCAAACCGAAGAACCGGTCAAACCAGGAAGATCGGAGCGGCGGCGTTGGTGGATCGGAGGTAACAAATTTTCCGGCGGCTTTGGACTGTTTCGCGTCAGCTTCTCCGCCTTCGTTGGCTGAGGAGATAGGACCTGTGCCGCCGCCTAGTAAAACTGAGGATGTAGCGGCGGCGGCGGCGGGGCAAAGTGTGGAGGAGGAGGCAGTGAGGATCTGCCTTGCGCCAGTGTTCAAGGAGCTGGTGCAGTTCGCCGTGGCTGGAGCTACTACGGCACCTCCGATTGCGTTGGCGGTGGAGGGGGATGAGAGGTGGCGGCAACAGCGGATTATGGAGCTTGAGCTTTATTTGAAGAGGATGGAGCTTGTGGAGGAATGGGTGAGGTCTAGTTTGGAGAAGCTTAGGTCGTTGGGAAGCTGAACCATTCGGAAGCTCGTCGTCCTCTTCGACGGTTGTAGGACGAAATGGTTTGGAGGGTGGATTTTTCTTCAAGTTAAAAAAAGGTGAGGTCTTTTGTAGTCTCGTCTTAATTTACTCGATCTTTTTGTCTTTTAAATGCGCGAAGATGCGAAATATTTCTTTAAACTGGGAATTTGTGGAAGAAACGGGAGGGATATGTAAATAGGTAAATATTTTATAAAATAAAAAAAACGTTTCCTCCTGTTATGATGCCTGTAAAGTTCTTATTTTTTGTTCAACATTTTGTCCCTTTGATTCACGACATCAGTTATGAAGCAAAAGTTTTAAAAGCGATATCTTTAATGATTTTTTATAATAATAATAAGAAAAAAAAAAAGAAATTAGGCCACATCAAATAATGTATAAAAACATTGACAACTGCATACATTACCTTCTAAAGTTAGATCCACACGATACGAAAGACATGTAGTATCAAGTACCTCAAATTCATGCTTGTTAATACAAGTTGGCACCAGAAGTCTACGGGCCTCGCGTCTAAATCTTTGTAACATTTGTTGAGGATTTGGAACAAATGAGGATTCATTCATAGAAGTAAGCTCAACAATAACATTTGTTTCATCAATAGTGCCACTATATTATAATATATTGAAAAAATTAATGCTTGGATTGGAAGCCATCTAGCCCATTTAAGTGCCATGTTGAAGCATTCTAATGCATTAGTAATTCTTGTTCCATGCCTGAATCTGTCATAATGCAATAAAGTCTATTTGGATACATATCTATCAGTAAGTCATGCAGGTACATCTGGCTTAACATTTTGTATATCTATCATGTATTGATTGAATACATGAAACTCATCAGTATTCTCCATTGGGTACATCTTCTGACAATGGAATCACAATCCAAGATGCCCATAATTCTTATGTTTTTTTTTTTTTTTTGTTAAATTTACTTGTAAATGTTGTAGATAGTAACGATGAGTTGTTTGGGGAAAAAATTCCCTGCAACCCAAAGCAAACCAGAATAATTTTCTAAAATTATGCATAAATCTGCTCTACCGCATACTATTAGAATTATGTTGCGCAAATATTGTAGGAACCAAATTTATGATTCATTACTCAGATTCTACAACAGCAAAAACTAAAAGAAAAATACCATTGTTGACATCTATTTCAACTATAGCCAACAATGTGCATCTATATTTTCCTATGATAAAATTTTCATCCAAGTTTAGAACATGTTTGGAATGTGACCAACCAGATATTGACGATCCGAATGCCCAAAAAATACGTTTAAACCTATTAGATTGGCAAACTTAAATTTTATACATAGTGCCCTTCATAGCATAATAGATGGCCTCCATTAACCTGCATAACGATCTATAAGGCTCTTCCCAACTTCCAAATATGAATTTGGTGGTTTTTCTCCTGAAGAATTATTCCATCAGTACTACGCACCTTAAGGAAGGTGCGTAGCCAATAAAACTGCGCCAGCTGTAAACTACGGTCCCACCTTTTTTTAGGGGTATTCGCGACCCGGGCCTGGCCCAAAACCCGAATTCTGAAAAAAATCCCGCCATAATAAAATGATTTCGCGCCAGTTGCTGTTCTATTCGAAGGGGGTGAAGAAATATTTTCGCTGGTTTTTTTGACACCTTCGTTCATAGCTCTGGTCACAGCTCCGTTCACAGCTCCGGTCACAGCTCCGCCATAGCTAGGTCTTGTTGAAATTCTCCATGGACGTTCAGATGCCGGAAGTTGATTTCTCCATGAACGTTGAGATGCCGGAAGTCTCCATGAACGTTGAGATGCCATCATTCAGCTTGAACTTTTGAAGGTCAAGATGAAGTGAGTCTTGGTGTTACTGTTGTGTTATTATGGTGTTATTCTGCTATTATTCTTGTTTCTTGCGTTTTATTTAGTACCGTTTAGGTGGTTTAGGTTTTAATTTTATCTCCATGTAAACGTAGGTGTTCGATTTAGTATCTTTTGGATGTTGTTCTACAGTGTGGTTTGTTATCATTATGGTTTTTTTCTTTTCGTTAGTATGGTTTAGGAATTCTGGTTTTTTTGAATTTAGTATGGTTTAGGAATTCTGGTTTTTTTTGTGTTACCCTTATGTTATTCTGGTATTACTGTGGTGTTACTCCATGTAAACGTAGGTGTTCATGTAGTATTATTGGATGCTACTCTACAGTGAGGTTTGGTATTATTATGGTTTTTTTTTCGTTACTATGGTATTAGGCTTTTGGTTTATTTGTATTACCCTTGTGTTATTCTTGTGTTACTGTGGTGTTACTGCATGTAAACATATGTGTTTATCTACTATCTTTTGGGTGATGTTCTACAGTGTGCTTTGGTATTATTATGTTTTTTTTTTTCGTTACAATGGTTTTAGGCTTCTGGTTTATTGGTCTTACTCTTGTGTTATTCTGGTGTTACTGTAGTGTTACTGCATGTAAACGTAGGAGTTGATGTAGTATCTTTTGGGTGTTGTTCTACAGTGCTTTGGTATTATTATGATTTTTTTGTGTTACCCTTGCGTTATTATGGTGTTACTGATATCACCATTGTTTTATGCAGTCCTTTCAGGCAACACAAGTTTGTAATGATCCTATCGCAGAGAAGTTTCTTAGTAGCATTATTCACAGTGAGGAAGAAACATATGAAAGCTATCGTGCCTATGCACATCACGTGGGATTCACTGTTCGGAAGGATCATACCACCTACTGGCCGAACTCCAAGAAACTCAAGGTTAAAGATTACATTTGTGGAAAAGCTGGCTATAAGAAAGAGCCTAACAACACAGTTAATTTCAGAAAAGCGGACACGAGGACTGGCTGTAAGATCATGGTACGATTTCATGTTGATTTCGAAGGCAGTTGGACAGTGGCAAAATTCATTGAAATCATCCTTTGGCTGAAAGTGGTGATAAGCATCTTCTTCGTTCCAACAGAAGGATAAGTTGGATTAATGCAGATGTGTTGAGATCCATGACAGGTTCAGGCATCAGAGCAACACACGCATACAATTTCATTGCCACGGAGGTTGGTGGTGTGGAGAATTTAGAGTGCACCAAGGGAGATGCATTTAATTTTATCCGGAGAGAAAGAAGACAAAGAATTGAACAGGGAGATGTCAATGCTTTAATACGATTGTTCATGGAGAGGCAATCTGGGGACAACATGTTTGCTTGGGATTTCCAAACAGATGAGTCTAGTAGGTTAACAAGCATATTTTGGAGTGATGGATTGTGTAGGCTGGATTATGACTGTTTCGAGGATGTCATAATTTTTTATACAAGCTACAGATTAAATAAATATAACTTATGTTGCGCTCTATTTGTAGGGGTTAACCACCACTGGCAGAACGTACTGTTTGGAGTTGGATTTCTATCTGACGAGACTACTGAATCATTCATGTGGTTATTCAAATCATTCATTCGAATAATGAGAGACAAACATCCCATAACTATCTTTACCGATCAGGATCAAGCAATGACAGGAGCCATTGTAGAATGCCTCCCACAAACACGTCATAGATTATGTCAATGACATATCTACAAGAAACTGTCTTCCAAAGTACACTGTGGAGTGCATACTAAGAGTGTCTGTGGTCTTTTTTATAAATGTTTGAGCAAGTGTGATTCTGAGGAGTTTGAATAAATGTGGTCCTTAATGATTGAGTTGGGAGAACTACAAAGTAATGTTTGGTTAGATGCAATGTATCGTATAATGCATAAATGATCAACAACATTCAATAAGGATATATTCGGTATGAGAATATTAACAACACAGAGAAGTGAGTCGATCAATAATGTTTATCATGGTGTTTCAAAGCCAACTAGCTCTCTCACAAATTATTTTATTGGTCTTGAAAACATAATGAAATTGTGGCGCCAGAATGAGAAAGATTAAGATTTCAAATGCGGTCAGTCCGTCAGAACGCCCATGGTTAAAATAAATCCTATGCTAAGGCAAGCTGTCTCATTCTATACAAGGAAGCTTTACTCAATGTTTGAACAAGAGCTCTTGAATGGCTTATGTGGGCTAACATATGAAGTATCAGTGGAGAGCGATGCTAAATATTATGTATCAAAATTGGATGATGAGGGGACAAGGCAACCCTGGAATGTGTTAGTTGACAAGGTGACTTGTGAGGTTACATGTAGTTGCAAAAAGTTCGAGATGATGGGGTTGTTGTGCTCCCATGCATTATTTGTTTTAAGTCTTGCAAAAATAAAGGTGATTCCAGAAAAATATTTCTTATTGCGGTGGTCCATCAATGCTAAAAGGGACATGTATAACAGATTCGGGTGCAAAGAGCTAAAAGACTCTGGATGTAATAATGTTTCTTCAAGTTCCCTTATATTCAGTTCATGCTCCAAAAAATTTGCATATAAGCTCATTAATAGAGCACAAGGACATGCACTAGCTGAGGAGTGTTTGTGGGAGACGTTCAAAAAGTTATCAGGAGATATTCAGGATGCTATAGCAGGGAGAACGATAGAATTACATAAAACAAAAAAGAAGCATAAAACCAAAAATATAGAATGCAATGTGAACGACCCTGCTAAAAAAAAGGCCGAAAGGAGTATCTACAACGAGGCTGAAAGGACATTGGGAGAGAAATAAGAAAGCCAAAAGTATAAATTTTTTATTTTAGTATTTCCTCATTCCATTCCATGTACAATGCGTACTTCTAATTTGACCCATTGCATTCAGGAATGGAACAAGAAGCAGCAAGTAGTCGTCGAGCCGTGGACGCATTCGAACAAAGTTTGACAGATTGCCTTACTTAGGTATGCTGATAAAATTCCGAATTATATCACTATCTCTTATATAAAATCATTTAATTTATTTCTCTTTCGTATTACTGACCTGCTGCAGGAAAATTATGCACCGCAACTAAGTCAAACGTACAGTGGACTTTTGATGGATTCCATAAGTGAGAATTTATATTGATTGATATTGTAAAAGCTGTAATACTGTATCATTTGTAAACGTTTTTACGAAAAATTTATTTATGGTTTATAATATGTGTTTGTTCATATATTCGGTATTTATCCTGCTCAAACGTATATATCAACTGTAACACGGGAATAACACGTAAATAATACGAGAATAACACGAGAATAACACTGCAATAACACTGGAATAACACGAAGATAGTACGTGAATAACACGGGAATACCACGTGAATAACACGAGGATTACTGTTAGTAACACGGAAATATGACGAGGATAACACGGCATGAAGACGAGGATAACAAGTGAAGAACACATCAATAATACGGG